AAGTTGTTGTGAATTTTCTTTTCATGAAGCATTGTCATTATTATTCATTTTCATTCGTGTTTCTTTCATTTTCATCTTATTTCTAGTAGTAATAAGATGTTGTCTTAAGTTGTGTGAATCTTTATTATTCATTTTTCATTCGTTTTTTCTTAGTAGTAGTATAAGATGTAATAGTCTTAAGTTGTGTGAATCCTTTAGATGAAGCATTGTCATTATTATTCATTTTTCATTCGTATTTCTTTCATCTTATTTCTCTTGCTTCTTTTTACAACTAGTAGTAATAAGATGTAATAGTCTTAAGTTGTGTGAATCCCTTAGATGAAGCATTGTCATTATTATTCATTTTCATTCGTATTTCTTTCATCTTATTTCTCTTGCTTCTTTACAACTAGTAGTAATAAGATGTAATAGTCTTAAGTTGTGTGAATCCCTTAGATGAAGCATTGTCATTATTATTCATTTTTCATTCGTATTTCTTTTCATCTTATTTCTCTTGCTTCTTTACAACTAGTAGTAATAAGATGTAATAGTCTTAAGTTGTCTGAATCCCTTAGATGAAGCATTGTCATTATTATTCATTTTCATTCGTATTTCTTTCATCTTATTTCTCTTGCTTCTTTTACAACTAGTAGTAATAAGATGTAATAGTCTTAAGTTGTGTGAATCCCTTTAGATGAAGCATTGTCATTATTATTCATTTTTTCATTCGTATTTCTTTCATCTTATTTCTCTTGCTTCTTTACAACTAGTAGTAATAAGATGTAATAGTCTTTAAGTTGTCATGAATCCTCTTTTTCATGAAGCATTGTCATTATTATTCATTTTTCATTCGTATTTCTTTCATCTTATTTCTCTTGTTTCTTTACAACTAGTAGTAATAAGATGTAATAGTCTTGTTGTGTGAATTTCTTAGATGAAGCATTGTCATTATTATTCATTTTTCACTCGTATTTCTTTCATCTTATTTCTCTTGCTTCTTTACAACTAGTAGTAATAAGATGTAATAGTCTTAAGTTGTGTGAATCCCTTAGATGAAGCATTGTCATTATTATTCATTTTTCATTCGTATTTCTTTCATCTTATTTCTCTTGCTTCTTTACAACTAGTAGTAATAAGATGTAATAGTCTTAAGTTGTGTGAATCCCTTTGATGAAGCATTGTCATTATTATTCATTTTTTCATTTGTATTTCTTTCATCTTATTTCTCTTGCTTCTTTTTACAACTAGTAGTAATAAGATGTAATAGTCTTAAGTTGTGTGAATCCTTAGATGAAGCATTGTCATTATTATTCATTTTTCATTCGTATTTCTTTCATCTTATTTCTCTTGCTTTTTACAACTAGTAGTAATAAGATGTAATAGTCTTAAGTTGTGTGGATCCACTAGATGAAGCATTGTCATTATTATTCATTTTTCATTCGTATTTCTTTCATCTTATTTCTCTTGCTTCTTTACAACTAGTAGTAATAAGATGTAATAGTCTTAAGTTGTGTGAATCCCTTTAGATGAAGCATTGTCATTATTATTCATTTTTTTCATTCGTATTTCTTTCATCTTATTTCTCTTGCTTTTTACAACTAGTAGTAATAAGATGTAATAGTCTTAAGTTGTGTGAATTTTAGATGAATTGTCATTATTATTCATTTTTCATTCGTATTTCTTTCATCTTATTTCTCTTGCTTCTTTACAACTAGTAGTAATAAGATGTAATAGTCTTAAGTTGTCTGAATTTCTTAGATGAAGCATTGTCATTATTATTCATTTTTCATTCGTATTTTCTTTCATCTTATTTCTCTTGCTTCTTTACAACTAGTAGTAATAAGATGTAATAGTCTTAAGTTGTCTGAATTTCTTAGATGAAGCATTGTCATTATTATTCATTTTTCATTCGTCTTTCTTTCATCTTATTTCTCTTGCTTGTTTACAACTAGTAGTAATAAGATGTAATAGTCTTTAAGTTGTGTGAATTTCTTTTCTGAAGCATTGTCATTATTATTCATTTTTCATTCGTATTTCTTTCATCTTATTTCTCTTGCTTCTTTACACTAGTAGTAATAAGATGTAATAGTCTTAAGTTGTCTGAATCCCTTAGATGAAGCATTGTCATTATTATTCATTTTTCATTCGTATTTCTTTCATCTTATTTCTCTTGCTTGTTTACAACTAGTAGTAATAATAAGATGTAATAGTCTTAAGTTGTGTGAATCCCTTAGATGAAGCATTGTCATTATTATTCATTTTTCATTCGTATTTCTTTCATCTTATTTCTCTTTGCTTCTTTTACAACTAGTAGTAATAAGATGTAATAGTCTTCTAGTTGTGTGAATTTCTTAGATGAAGCATTGTCATTATTATTCATTTTTCATTCGTATTTCTTTCATCTTATTTCTCTTGCTTCTTTACAACTAGTAGTAATAAGATGTAATAGTCTTAAGTTGTGTGAATCCCTTAGATGAAGCATTGTCATTATTATTCATTTTTCATTCGTATTTCTTTCATCTTATTTCTCTTGCTTCTTTACAACTAGTAGTAATAAGATGTAATAGTCTTTTTGTTGTTTGAATTTCTTAGATGAAGCATTGTCATTATTATTCATTTTTTCATTTTTCATTCGTATTTCTTTTCATCTTATTTCTCTTGCTTCTTTACAACTAGTAGTAGTAATAAGATGTAATAGTCTTAAGTTGTGTGAATCCTTTAGATGAAGCATTGTCATTATTATTCATTTTTCATTCATATTTCTTTCATCTTATTTCTCTTGCTTCTTTACAACTAGTAGTAATAAGATGTAATAGTCTTAAGTTGTGTGAATCCCTTTTCTGAAGCATTGTCATTATTATTCATTTTTCATTCGTATTTCTTTCATCTTATTTCTCTTGCTTCTTTACAACTAGTAGTAATAAGATGTAATAGTCTTAAGTTGTTATTCAATCCTTTTCTGAAACATTGTCATTATTATTCATTTTTCATTCGTATTTCTTTCATCTTATTTCTCTTGCTTCTTTACAACTAGTAGTAATAAGATGTAATAGTCTTAAGTTGTGTTGAATCCTTTAGATGAAGCATTGTCATTATTATTCATTTTCATTCGTATTTCTTTCATCTTATTTCTCTTTTTTTTACAACTAGTAGTAATAAGATGTAATAGTCTTAAGTTGTGTGAATCCCTTTTTATGAAGCATTGTCATTATTATTCATTTTTGATTCGTATTTCTTTCATCTTATTTCTCTTGCTTCTTTTTACAACTAGTAGTAATAAGATGTAATAGTCTTAAGTTATTTGTGAATCCCTTTTCTGAAGCATTGTCATTATTATTCATTTTTTTTCATTTTCTTTCATCTTATTTCTCTTGCTTCTTTACAACTAGTAGTAATAAGATGTAATAGTCTTAAGTTGTGTGAATCCCTTAGATGAAGCATTGTCATTATTATTCATTTTTCATTCGTATTTCTTTTCTTATTTCTCTTTTCTTTACAACTAGTAGTAATAAGATGTAATAGTCTTGTTGTGTGAATCCCTTTTCCTGAAGCATTGTCATTATTATTCATTTTTCATTCATATTTTTCTTTTCATCTTATTTCTTTTGCTTCTTTTACAACTAGTAGTAATAAGATGTAATAGTCTTAAAATTAAAACAAAATCCCTTTATGAATATATTGTCATTATTATTCATTTTTCATTCATATTTCTTTCATCTTATTTCTCTTGCTTGTTTTACAACTAGTAGTAATAAGATGTAATAGTTTTTATTAAATTCAATGTTATTTTTCATTCGTATTTCTTTTCATCTTATTTCTTTTGCTCATTTTCATTATTATTCATTTTTCATTCGTATTTCTTTCATCTTATTTCTTTTTTTACAAATAGTAGTAATAAGATGTAATAGTCTTAAATTGTGTCAGATGAACATTGTCATTATTATTCATTTTTCATTCGTTTTCTTTCATCTTATTTCTCTTGCTTCTTTA